GGCTCCATTTTCCACTTGGTGGCACTGCTTAGTTTACTGGGGTGGATCTGTGAGTGTGTGAGTGTGTGTGTGTGTGTGTGTGTGTGTGTGTGCGCACGCACGTGTGCATGTAGGGGTGAAAATGGCCTCACCCAGCTCCCCAGTCTCTGGCACAGGAACTTTGCACTCTCACTGGCCCGCGATCAAGCACCCCTCCTTTGTCTCAGGCCTCCGTCCACTCCCCACCTTTACTCTGTGTCCAAGCTGTCTGCCTGCCAGGTGGCCCCTCCCTCCAGAGTTTTATCTCAGATGGGGTTGTGTTTCAAAACCCCATGCTTCAGGGCCCCCTGGCGCTTGGACCTGTGCTACTCTCTAGGGGAGGGTCTCACTGAGCAATGGACAGGTGCCAGCTTGCCCCAGAAAACATTTGTGCAATCTCACAGCAGCAGAGGGTCAGAGGTTATGGGAAATCACCAACACATGGCTGGTGCCAGATTTCCCTGCACTCTGGCGTCTTTGTCCCAATACCAACAAATGCAGATGCTCTCCGGCGTCCCCTGGGACCTTTGCCTGCAAGAAGGCCATAGGGCCTCTACCAAATGCACTCCAAGCAGGGGAACTGCTTCTTCCTGTGTGGCACATGGACTCCTTGGACCCTACCGCCTGCTACTGAGGATTTGCCCCACTTCTTCACCAGAACATCTCCAGGCACTGAGTTCCGCTGTTTAGAGGATCCTGGTGGTATTGAAACTCTCTCCTTTCTCCCTGTCAGTAGTTTTGGGGAACAGATTTCTTGTCCAGTCTCTTGTGAGTGTTTTCACTCTTTCTCTCTTTCTCTCCAGCTGCTTTCAGGGGGAGTGCTTTTCTTACACAATCCCAATGCACTGAACTCTCCCCCTTTCTCTTTCTCTCTCTGTCCTCTCTCCACAAAAACAGCTCTCTACCCTCTGCAGCACCATGGCTTTCCTCTCCCCCATTTCACCTCTCCACACTGCATACCTGCCAAGTTCTGGGGCTCAAGTTATGCAGATTGTTGCTTTAATCTTCAGGTCAATTCCCTAGGTGTTCAAAATGGTTTGACGCTGATCTCACTGGGTTTCAGGGATGAGACAAGCTCAGGTCCACTATACTGCCTCTCCATCTTAACTCCTCTTATTTGTTCCTTCTTGCACTACTCCTTGAAATGAGAGAGAATGGTGGGGCAAGGGCGGGTACACAGAGATGTCGAAACAAGATGCTAATGACATGATCTCACAGCACTATGAGCATCTTCTGCCACCTGCCTGTAGGCAACACTCAAAGGCAAGCTTGTTTCCCCAGTCAATGCTCCCTTGCCATCTTCCAGATTTGCCCCTGGCCCCAGACACTCTCGCATGCCTCCCATTACCCTAAAGCCTAGAGCTTGGTCAGCAGCATAGAAGCCCTGGAGGCACATCATACCAGTTTGGAGCAGTAAGGGTTTAGCTGAGCTCTCCCTGTGCAGTCTGAGGACCCTGAGGCCCAGGCTGGCTATGAGACAGCTATTTGCCTTGACAACCTATTATGGTTGGTCAAGCAGGGCACCAGCAATCTGGAAGTCACTTACAGTTCATTTGTAAGATGTGTCTAACCAGAATGGAGTCCTCAAGGCAGCATAAGATCCTGCCTGTACCAGAACCATGGACTCAGTGGCCATGAAGCTGCAAGGGCCTTGGGGTCCACCTAGTAGTCAAGCATTTCCCAAAGCAAAACTCAAGCGCTGATTTTTAGGATGGCTAACAGGTTTTACCCCCAAAAAGTGTCTCACAATCAAGGAAATTTGTAGAACCTTGAATTAAAAACAAATTAAGATTCTTTTTTACATTCCTTCTCAGAATTTAATTTCCAAGAAGGTAGAATTTCCCAAATTTTGCTGTGTGACCCTTCGCTGGAAGCCAAGTTTCCTTAACCGTAATACAGAAATGATAATGCCCACCTTGGAGAATTGCTGTGAGGTTGAATGAGATCATGAGCTGAGAAGCATTTAGCATAGTATCTCACATATTAGGGGTCAGCAAATTTTACTTCCCTTCTCTTTCTCCTACGCCTTTCATTGTTCTTTCAAATCTTCCCCTAGGCTCGGTAAATTACCCCTATATACAACCTTCTGTGAAATTATGTGAAACCGATTTCCTGGCCTCTTGATGGCATCAGAGTATTTATGTATGCCACAAAGCTTCCTACCCAGCTTATCTGGAGGACAGGGGAACCCCGGAACCAATGGGGCAGAAATCCTGGTAAACACAAAAATGCGGCACGCATGGCACAGTGCGAGTGGGGGGACCGATCCCCAGTCTCCAGTGGCAGCTCTGCCTCCTCCCGAATCACCAAGGACTCACAGGTGGAGTCCTAAGTTCTCAGCACAGATTCACAATCACAAAAGAGGCGACGTGGCTGCCAGCTCACTGGAAGAAGCTCTAGACCAAGATGAGAGGTTTTCAGCTGGCTATTTACCCTAGCCAAAGCATGGTGGCACTTCCTCAGTTGTGAAATGCAGGGATGTGGGCAGATGATCTTCACGCTCTCTTCGTAATTTGCACAGATCCCCATTTTAAAGGTTACCAGCTGTAGTTTAATCAGAAGTCCAAGAAACATAGTCCATGCACCCCAAATATATTTTATTGAGAGCGGAGCAATTACAATAAAGTACTCATTACGGCACACTGGAAAGGCTCAAGTCCTACAAATTTCACATTCACAAATACAAATCGCTGTTTGCTCTGAGGCACACAGGGAACAAGGGGAATGGGGAAGACAAGGTACTGACGGGAGACCCGGACCTATGGGCCAGCCATCTGTGAGTCTTCCTCCAGGGAAGGGCCTTCTCTGACTTGGCAGTATTTCTAAAAATTTTTTTTACATTTATTTATTTTTGAGAGACAGAGAGAGACAGAGTGTGAACGGGGCGGGGGGGAGGGCAGAGAGAGAGAGGGAGACACAGAATCCGAAGCAGGCTCCAGGCTCTGAGCTGGCAGCACAGAGCCCAACGCGGGGCTCGAACCCACGAACTGTGAGATCGTGACCTGAGCCGAAATCAGACGCTTAACTGACTGAGCCACCCAGGTGCCCCGGCAGTATTTCTAGATTCCCTCAGAGAGGAGCAAAGCAAAGCTCTCCCCATGATCCCAGAGCAGGACCAACTATCTGTAGTCTTGCTACCTATTCTCTTTCTAGTTCAAAGAATTTCTATGGCAGCATTAGGATGAAACGATTAGCTACTTCTTGACACCACAGAGACAGGAGGCACAGGCATGGGAGCCATTTGGCCTGAAAAATCCATCTTGGGATCCATACGGGCTTAGAAGCCTCTCTGTCCCATGGAAGTCAAACACTTCAAACATTCTCATAAATAGACTAGCATAATGAACCCCCATGTCTCATTATAGGAAAGCAGATGATAAGACCGAGTTCAATTTCAATTAACAGCCAAGAGATCTAAGTAAACCTTGGATAAAGCCCTTCTCCCCAAACCTCAGTTTTCTACTCAGCTGCATATCCATGTTTGCTTTCAAGTCTATTTGGTGTTAGAAAGGAACCTAAAACCAGTGTGAGAATGGCAATTGCTTAGGGTGGGTGAATTAAGCACTATTCTGCCTTTGTCTTCCGGGTGACCTAGTGAGTCACTCAAGACCAGATGAACGATGATGAAAACAGTCTCTGGAATGAGATTTCTCTGGCATGTTGAGTCCTTAAAGACCATCACAATGTCGTAGGTTTCTGTAAGTGACACGTGAGCCACTAGGGTGATGTTGACAAGTGAGTTGTCTTCCGGGAACTGGCGTGAAGAAGCCTTATTATTTAGACAACACAGAGAAGTGGCCTGTCTAGACAGCTTGCAAGGATGAAGTGTCTAAGTACAATTATTTCTGGCATGTTGGAAAGACTGCTCCTTCATCTCCTGTAAAAGCAGGGCAGTGTTTTTACCACCTCTTGTTCTATGTGAGTGCAAAGGAGAAGGAATTAAGCCTCCTTGGATGAGTTTTGTTCCCTGGCTCATCACGATGGCCGCCATCTGAGAAGAGGTACTTCACCTGGGTCTTTCCCTCCGCTGGGTACAGGATGACGGCAGTCTGTTGGCTTTGACAGCCTTCTCCTTGTGTTCCTCTCCCACCTCTTCTTCCAACTCTTCCCGTGGACACTGTTCCTGGGAGAGGGGCTCAGAAGTTCCCTGCTATGCCCTGTTTCTTGCTTATCTCTACATGGAAAAGTGTAATTCAGAACGGAATGAAAAGCGCATGCACACACATGCACACACACATGTGCACAGACACACAAAGGAAAAAAGTTGCAAGTGAATCCACAGCACGTTAACAAAACTCATCACAGTTGGTGGGAGAACGGGGTGATTTTTGTTTTCTTCTTTGTGCTTTTCTAAATTTTCTGAAGTTTTATAATAATAATTCTTTAAGAGAACTCAGTAATTTCTCTTTGCTTTCAGGAACTGAATTGGCCCTGTCTTGTCATGTATCCAAGCCAGCCACCACACGGCTGTGATTCATCCTGGCCCAGGACTTTGGGAAGTGAGGCAAAAAAAACGTGGCATCTCTGGCTCACTCACCTTTTGCTGGCATGAACCTTTTTCAAGCAGAGTTCTGTGCATCTGGATCAGCCACACCCCAAGTATGACTCAGGTGTCCTTTGCGGATGTTCCATGGTAGGGAGTATTGTCAGGAAGCTGACTCAGCCCTCATGTGGGCTGCAGCTTCCCTGGGTTCTCTGGCTCAGGGAACCCAGGTGATATGCTTTGCAGCATTTCTTGGACAGGAATTCACAAACACATGTCTAATTGGGTGTTGCCTTTTAGTTTTCACACCAAATGGGGTAGAAGGCTAGACAGAGCTTCCTGGGAAATGAAGACTCCCATGGCTTCTGTAGGACCTTGTTTTTAGCACTGTGAGGGCCATGGGTGAGAGGACAGGCTTCTTTTCCAGTCTCTTGTCCTCAGGCCCTTTCCCAGCCTCAGCTGGAGAGAGAGCTCGCCCCCTGCCTCTTCTCACTCTCCCCTAACTCACTGCCACGATGGGCTCCACAGAAGACAGGTCTGTCTTCCCAGACTGCAGTTGGGAGGAGGGCAGGAGGCTGTTGGCTAGCAGAGCCCTCCGGCCACTGCTCTTCTCTGTCCAAGCCACCCTGAAGGAAGGGACTGGGGAGGGTGGCCTTTCCTCCTGGGGCTTGGGCAGCCTTTGGCACATGCTCAGTAATGCCTTCAGCTCGACCCTGAAGTTCTCGTTGAGCCAGCAGTAGATGAAGGGGTTGTAGCAAGTGCTGCTCATGGCAAACCAGTGGAAGGCGAAGTAGAGGGCGTTGTTGGTGTGGATGACCTTGCTGGACAGGAGGAGGACATAGCAGTTGAGGGGGAACCAGCAGAGGGCAAAGAGGACCACCACCAACATCAGCATCTTCATGGTCTTCTTCTTCTTGCGCCGCAGGGCCAGGTACTGCTCCGTGGTCACATCGCCGATCGTGTTGCACATCCACAGCTTCTTGGCCACGCGGGCATAGGCCACGGAGATGATGAGGAGGGGTAGGATATAAAGCAGGATGAAGGTGGCCAAGTCCAGATACTTCCAGAAGAGGTCAGCTGGCTCAGGGAAGTCTGGCAGGCACAGGGAGCGGACAACGTCCTCGCTGGTGACAGGGGAGAGAGGGAGACAGAGAAACAGAGATAGAGACAGAGGGAGGCAGAGAGAGAGGAAGAGAGAGGAAGGGTGTGCCATTAGTGTGGAAAGGCCTCGTCCCAAGATTCTGGCTCTCCCACTAGATTGGGGGTTTTGTAGAGACAAGGAAAACACCTGCTCTCTCTGTGTTGTCTTAAACTTATATAATTCCTAGCCTGTAACAGAGACCCAGTAAATATCTGTTCAATGAATGAATACAACACTGGCATTCCTAGTCTTAGAACTAACTCATCCTGAGAGCACAATGTGCTCAGGAAACGTTGGAATTCCTCCATTCCAGAGGGGAACTAAGGAACGAGGCAAAGAAATGATGGATCTTGGGAATGTGAGCGGCAAAGCCCGAACGAACACACCTTCAGCCATACGTGTAACAAGTATCTATTTTCCATGGAATGTACCCAGTCCTCCTTGAAGAAACCCTAGAGCTGATGTGTTGAGACTATGCAGACTATGACCCCCTGAAAGAGGGGGCACAAATCACCCACACAGGGCTGGCCAGTACCACCCTTGTGTCCAAGCTCCCACTTTGGGGAAGTGAAAACCTTAGGGCCATTTTGATTGAAGGCGCAGTTTGAATACACTCACACAAAGGAAGTAAAGTCACCAGATACATTACTTACAAATCCCAGCATGGAGACGCCAGGAGCTGAGGGGAAGGGCAGTCCTCTGTCCTAGGTCGTGAGCAAGCAGGAGATAGAGAGCAGGGTTATAAGCGCCCATTACTTATAGGGTGGTTGAGGCACAGTCACCAATTTTTCACAGCCTCAACCCGGAGTGGTTAGTTTATTTTTTGAGAGAGAGAGAGAAAGTGTGAGCAGGGGAGAGGGGCAGAGGGAGAGAGAGAGAGAATCTTAAGCAGGCTCCACACTCAGTGCAGAGCCCCATTTGGGGCTCAATCCCATGACCCTGGGATCATAACCTGAGCCAAAATCAAGAGTTGGATGCTCAACTGACTGAGCCACCCAGGTGCCCCTCTGAGTGGTCATTTTAAAACGTGACCCGGGGGCACCTGGGTGGCTCAGTCAGTTAGGTGTCTGACTTCGGCTCAGGTCATGATCTCTGTGAGTTCAAACCCCAAGTCGGGCTCTGTGCTGACAGCTTGGAGCCTGGAGCCCGCTTCCGATTCTGTGTCTCCCTCTCTCTCTCTGCCCCTCCCCCGCTCGTGCTCTCTCAAAAATACATGTTACAAAAAAAAATGGTGACCTGGAAAAGCAAGGCAGGAACTTGTGATGGAATCCTAACCTTGAGTCCCAATCTAAATGCCCAGACTGTGCGTGTGAACAGGGTTGTCATACTGTTAAAATGTCTAGGCAGCAACTCAAAATGGCTGTTTCTTCAGCACATTATGTCGCTTGTGCACTTGTTATATGTGCTGATGGCCATCACTACTGAAAGAAAGAGAATTCTCTTTGCTTTCGTTAGCAGAAAAAAAAAAATAGCTCCCCATATGTGAAGGCAGATGGGGGTCTGAGTGCTAGGAGATTTGGGTATGCGATTTGTTCTGATATCGTAGAATCTGGGGAGGGAGAAGCCTTTGTAAATTACAGTCGACCCTTGAGCAACATGGAGGTTAGGGGCACCGACCCCTGCGCCGTTGAAAACCCATGCATGACTTTTGACTACCCCCAAATCTAACTACTAATAGCCTACTATTGACTGGAAGTCATATCGATAACATGAACAGTTGATTAATACACATTCTGTAGGTGTATGATACACTGTGTTCTTACAAGAAAGTAAGCTAAGGAAAAGAAAATGCTATTAAAATCATAAGGAAGAGAAAATACACTTACGGTACTGTACCATAGTAATCGAAAAAATCCACACAGAAGTGGACCCACACAGTCCAAACTAGCGTTGCTCGGGGTCAAATGTAGTTGTAATCAGCCTTCAGAGCTTGTTCTCCTGACCCTGCTTATGTCATAGGCATGTGTGTTTTGAAGTGTATGTTTCAGGCGGAGCAGCACAGAGTTATTGCAGGACACACGTGGCTACCGGTCTGGAGCGCCAGGATGCTAGCTCCCGGCCAACCCACAAGAAGCAGCTGGCACCTGTGATATTGTAGGGACCTAGCACTACCGTAGGACCACTAAAGTCATTTCCTACAGATCCACTAAGACCCAGAGGTGGCTGGGAGTTTTCGATTTCTGCAGGGAAGACCCAGAGGTGGCTGGGAGTTTTCCATTTCTGCAGGGAGCCCAGAATATGACAGCCCAGCATCCTGGCCTCGAGGCTGAACAAACTCTGTGTTATCTTTGCTCTTAGAGCCCCCTGTGCTGCTGCCTGTAGCTCCTCCTGACATCCCTCCAATGCCAACATTGCACCCTCCGTTGGTCTCTTGCTATCCTGCCTGCTCACTCCCTTATCCATCACTCCCGGGAGCACTTCCTTAAAAAATCCCAAGCACGATCTGTATCTCAGGGTCTATTTCTAAGGAACCTCCTCTAAAACAAGTACTGACTGATGAAAATCACTCTAAGCTTGCTCATTCGTTCATCCATTCAGTAATTATGTATTGAGGGGCTGTTATATGGAGACAGTAGGTCAGGTGCTAGGGACACCAGGAAATTCTTGTTCTGCGACAGCACAGGACAAAGAAACCTGAATGGGAGGTAGGAGATACAGCATCCTGCCTCAGACACACAGACACACGTGTGCTTTATTTATACGTTGTGCGAGAGAATGTAAACGTTGCCATTATAAACAAGGCCTGGGTGACTTTGATTCTCAGTCTGTGTGAGTACCTGTCCCCAGCGAAAGAAGCTGTTGGCTCCTGCCCTGACCTCGCAGACAAGCTGGGTGGAGAATAAGGAGGGAGCTAACGTTGCTGAGAAGAAAAGGTGAGGAAAAGCAGAACAAATGGGGCCACAGATAGGCCCCAGACTTGGAAGCAAGAGAATGGGAGACAGAAGTGCTGGGTGCAGCAGATACCGGTCACTCAGACTCAGAGGGGGCTCAGACTTCCCTCTGTCAGGGCCCTCTGAGTCCCCAAGCTGCTCCCGACTAGCCAACTCACCTGTACTTGAAGGTAAATAATTTCTGGCAGATGGCGTGTGGGAGTGAAAAGAACGTAGCCATGGCCCAGATGACCGTGACGTAGATGACACCTTTTGTGATCGAGATCCGGGGTTTTAATGGATGCATAATGACCTGGAAAACAAGCAAACTGTGCATCACTGGCTGAAGAAGTCTGGAAGCAGATCAGATCTCAATGACGGCGCTCACGTGCCACACTAAGGCAGGTAGGTCCTATTTATAAACAAGCACCCCTTCATTCAGTGTTAAGCCCCTGAGCTGCACCACCCCACGGTCCACCCCCAGAAGCAAAAAAGAAGGTATCGTCTGAGACTCCAGGTCTGGAGACTCCACACTGGAGTCTCAGAGACTCCAGGTGGCTCAGATGCCTCTTACAGGTCATACGTAGCAGAACCAGAGTGCAGTGAGGGGATGGGGAAGGGGTGAAGCAGGAGGTCTGCTCCCATGACACCCACAAGGCCAGCAGAGGAACAAGCCACAATCAGCCTCCACCTTGGGATCCGATCTCATTCTGCCATGATTCTAGACCCCTTGGGTTATGGAGGGCTCTGAGAGGATCTGGGGTGACAAGCCTGGAGAGGAGTCTGTATTTGTCATGGGAAGTTGCACTGACATTTATGTGGGGGTTCACAACACTGTTTACAAAAGCTATTTCTAAATCGTGGGGTCCAGCTTTCCCACCGCTTATAGTAAAGCCTGTGTTACAGGCTTTGAGCTGAAAAGCATTTTGGAATTACTACAGTTGGACAATCCATTCTGCTGAAAGGTTTAAATAAAGATTTGGGAACTCAACGGCATCCTCATATTAAGATTAGGATCATTATTTCTTGAAAAAGGCATTCTGAGACAGGTGAATCCAGGGTCAGGGAGAGAGGTCCTCAAGAGCTGCCATCACCTAAGGATGTCATCCCAGGACACAGTGGACATTCTGGCTGTGTCCTCCCAAATTTTGTCTCCAGGTTCTTTCAAGATTTGATGAAAGGAAGTGACTAGGTTTTAGAAGCTGCTCAGCACAGCCCCCTTCTGGATTTTGCCATATTTGCCCCTCAGACTCCCTCGTTGTTCAGGTTGCTGAAGACAGTGAAAGCCTGGGTCAGAGGCCCCAGACATCGCTCAAAGATTTCACTGCTTTGGGAAAAGGCCCCATGTTGGGGTTTATGTCACAGCAACGTGATCAGTGTTGGCAAGACTTAACCCCCTTGTTCCTCAGACCCACCTTTGGCCCAAGGGGCAACTGTCGGTGAGGCTGTGTTAAGTGGGGGTAAGCATCGGCCAGGTGGAAGTAATCCAGAGTCCCTCTTGTTGAATTAGGGGAGAAGGTTAAGAAAAGGCAGAAAACATTAGCATGCAGCCTTTTCAGACTTTGCCCAGAGTATCTGCAATATAAATGCCAAAATGATGGAATTTCGGGGCTAAAGAGATCTCAAAGTTTGCCAAATCCAATTCCCTACCAGATAACGAACGTCCTCTAAAACATCCCTATCAAGTGTCATCCAGACCTTGCTTAAAAATGGCTGGGGAAATGAAACTCACTACCCGCCCCCCCCCCACGCCCACCCCGGCAGCTTCGTTCTGCTAGAAAATTCTTTCTCCTACTGAGCTGCACCTTTGAGTCTGCATCTTTGAGGCCTCCTCTCCTTTGTACCTCTTGCAGCTGCTCAGAATAAATTCTTCCTCTCTCTGTCCTGCTGGCCCTTATGATATTGGCCACCTTGAGCCTTCTCAGAGTAGGGCGGCCTCATGATCAGGGCAGAGGTATGAAGCCAGACAGACCTCAGTGCTAATCCTGGCCTCATCATTCACCAGGCATGTGATCTCAGGAGGGCTACCCGTGCACTCTTCTGAGCTTCCATTCCTTGATTCGGCATAGACCTCGTATACACCATGGATTTACTGAGTTAGCACATGCAAGGTGCTTGGCAGGGAGCCATCCTCTTCCAGGACAGAGTCCTCTTTGATTTCCTTTACCATACCCACCATGTGCCTCTGGTGGGGCAGGGCAGTGGCTGCCTGCTCCTGCCACATGGCACCCTAGCTTGTTTTCCTCCTCAACAACTTGGGCCCCGGGGGCTCCATCCCCCTCGTCTCTGACCTGCAACGATGTGCCGATCTCTTTTCAACTGTGATTTTCGGGTTGGCTTTTCTCCCCCACCCCCAAACAAGCTCGTTAATTTCTGAGACACAAAATATAAGCGATGAGCCTTTGTTAGAACAACAAACTGGGAATAACTTTTTGTGGCACTTAGCACAAACGTTTTAAAGCGCCTCATCTAAGTGCTCATGTTAGTCAATAAGAAGACAGATACACTTATTGAAAACTGTGCTAAAATACTGTCTCCAGGGCCCCTGCAGCTCCCCGGAAAGCAAAGCCGGAGGGGGAAGGACCGGGTGTTGGGGGTAGGTGCCCTCACCTGGTGGCGGTCCACAGCAATGGCCGTCAACGTCAGTGCTGAGACGTGCAGAGAGCAGTACTGGGCAAAGCGGCTGACGTGGCACATGCCTTTCCCGAACACCCATGTGCTGTTCACAAAGCGGACCTGGAAACCAGCCCACAGAGGTCAGAAGAAAAACAGGGCCTTGACCCTGACAGCCCTACCCCCATCCGTGGCCTCTGAGGAGCATCCCTTGGGAGGCATCTTCCGGCTCCTCTCTTCTTCCATTCCACACTACTAAATTGTGCATCACACGTGACTTTCTCCAGCATGACTCATTTCCAATCATTCGATTCAACAAAACCTGATCATACCGCCGGGGCCAAGCCTTGTTAGGTGCCAGGAGGGCGTGGGAATACGTGGGCCTTGCAGTTGGACTTCCCACCTCTAACAGTTTGAAGCTATATGATCTTGGGCAAGGTGTGTATAATCTCTCTGAACCTCAGTTTCCTCATTTGTAAAAAAAAAAAAAAAAAAGGGGGGGGCTTAAAAACTTCTACCTTGTAGGCTTATTACATGGACTAAGGTTTTAAAAATCTATAAAGGGTGCAACACAACGTCTGGCAGATTGGTAGAGAGATATTCTTAGAAATAAATAGTAATAATAAAATCCATTCTCAGTCCACATGAGTTCAGACTACTGGGGGAGACCCACGTGAAAAATCACAACATAGCGTGTAAGCTGTGCTCTCTAATGTTGACTAAGCAGGCCTTACAACGTCATCTGGGAAGGGGCCTGAGGGGCCTGGAGGGGTGGGGGTGGGGCAGAGCGGGAGAATGGCAAGCTGCAGGACAGCGTGGGGCCCTCGGAGCAGACCCACATCATCCATGGCTACTTGCCCACTCAATCAGTGCCTGGGCAGCTCCTGTGAGTGATGCCCACGCCCAAGAAACATCAAGCACCGATTCTGAACAAGGAGCTTCCGGTCTGGGTAGAGGACCCAGGCACCTCCGGATGCAAGAAAGACAGTATTCAGTGCCCACAGAAGTTCCCAGACAGAGGGCTTCGGGGCCGCAGGGTGGGAATGGAGCGGGCTGAGGTAGAGGGGAAAAATGATAGAGAAAGATCTAGAGCAAGTCAGTCCGACAGAAAGAAGATCATGTAGTGGTGGCCAGCAGAGTCACCCGGGGCAAGGCCCTTGGGCTCCGCAAGCACCACTGCCCCCATCCGTAAAATGCGGCTAATGGTCTTCACATGGTTGTTAGGAAAATCAGAGGAGAGATGACGTGCGAAAAGTAGGTGCGGCAGGGCCTCGAACACTAGTAAATACGCCCTCCACTACCCTCGTTAGGACACATGAGGCATCGGAGACGAGCTTTAAGAATACGTGGCATTTGTACTTGTGGCAGCAAGAACAAAGGGCTTGGCGCTGAGTCAGAAATCCCAGGACCTATTTGAGGAAAGAGGAGTGGGATGGTTTGGCTGGAGGGTGAGAGTCGGGAGACACGGATCGTGTCGCTAGGACAGCAGCTTCATTCTCTGGGAGGCTGGCAGGTGGCAGCCACACGGGGCTTCTGAGCAGTCCAGGAACATTACAGAGCTAGAAGTCCTTAGTTCCTCCCACATCCAGGACGTTGCAAAGTCAACCGGTGCCCCTCTCATCCCAAAGTCGTGGCCCTCGTCTCTCACCTGGACCTTTACAGCCTCCCAGCTGCTACCCTTGCCCTCCGGTCTTGTCCACTTGTCATTCAGCCTTCACTCTGCTGATGGGATTTTTCTTAACCAAAAATCAGATGACTGTCACCTTCCTGCCTAGAATCATCCTGGCCCTCAGGACAGAGCCAGATGCCTTAGGAGTCTGCAGGCCCATTCACAAGCTGGCCCCAGCCTTCCTCTCTGGCCCACCTGCACTTGTCCCCACCCCCCACCCCCTGTTCCTCTCCGTTCCTCCCACCGTGCTTCCTGCCTCGTTGATGCAGCTACATCAAGCCTCTCAACATTCCCTCAACACACCATGAACTCTGAAGCCCTTTGTTCTCCAGATCCCTCTGTCTGCATTGAGTGTTCATCTTGACCTGGGAAATTCCTGCTCTTCCAGGCCCTTTGAAATGTCACGTTCTTTGCACAGTCTCCTTTGACCCTCTCATGAGACCCTGGCAGGACAGAATAAATGATTCTCTCCTCCGGGCTCCACAGCACTCCATACGTGTCTCTGCCATGGGAATTGTAAGTACCTGTTTGCTCTTCTCTCAATGACCAGGGCTGGGCTTCACGCTCGCTGTCGTGTGTAAAGTGAACAGAAAAGGAAACCAGGTTGCAAGAAGACTGTCACCAACTAGCTGGAAGGCAGGATGCCTTACCTAGTCAATTAGCAATTGATACACCAGCTGTGGCACAAAGCAGCGTCCTAGGGTGGGGGTGGGGGGGCATTGAATGGGCTGGATTTCGTGGGTGGGGGGTGACCTAATGATCTCTGCCAACATTTCCAGAAGCTTCGATTTACTGCTTGACTATCGAATAGGCCCACGTGCACTGCCATTAAGTAGGAGTGTGAGGGCTTAGGAGATCCTCCCCCTCAACCCTTTCATTCTCCCTGCTTGCCAGCACCTTGCAAGCTCTGACAGGAATTCAGATTGGGGCAGTTACACGGGTCAGGTTCAAGGCCAGGCCGCTCTGGATTATCTCAGAGGAGTGCTGGGTTCTCAGGACCCTGATCCTCCTCTCTTGCAGGAGATCATCCAAGGCTGGACTTGTCAGGCCCCAGCCACAGCCTAGCGTGGGATTCATGGTTTCTCTCTCCCATCCCCCAGCCTCTTCTGTGCATGCTGCTCTGGGCAGTAGCACAGGGGCCATGCCCCGGGGCCAGTTCTCATCCTGGGTGTCCCAGCCCAACCCTAGCATTGCAGATGGTCAGGATAGAAACCAAGGGGGCAGGGGCAACCAAGGAGAGCCAGAGATACACAATCTCATGCTTCAAGGCAAGAGGCAGTTACCTTGGCAGGGTGGGGCCTGGTATCTGAAAGCCCTTTTGTCCTTGGCTACACAATATAAACTGGCAGGAGAGCAGGAAAAATCCATGTTTCAGAATAGTGGAAGCTTAGCATGGTCCAAGAAGCCCTCCTCACCCACCACCCCCAGCGCTAGGTGGCTTAGTGGACAGACCTCTGACTTGAGTCAGGAAAGTAATTCTCATCGTGGCTCGGCCAATTACGAGCGAAGTGACCCGGGACAAGGGATTGAGCCTCTGTGTGCCTTAGTTTCCCCATCTGCAAAACGTAATATTCTTGTGAGGACAAAGGTAGAATGCAGTTTTAAAATGTGAGGTTTAGGGGCGCCTGGGTGGCGCAGTCGGCTAAGCGTCCGACTCCAGCCAGGTCACGATCTCGCGGTCCGTGAGTTCGAGCCCCGCGTCGGGCTCTGGGCTGATGGCTCGGAGCTCAGAGCCCGGAGCCTGCTTCCGATTCTGTGTCTCCCTCTCTCTCTGCCCCTCCCCCGTTCATGCTCTGTCTCTCTCTGTCCCAAAAATAAATAAAATGTGAGGTTTAGAAGGACGTGCATGCAGGTGGATGGATTTGTGGGAGTTCACCCTCTTCTGGCTTGTCTATTATTTCTGGTTGCGTGTGTGCATGTGTGTGAGAGAGAGAGAGACAGAGAGCAAGGTACGAACAGACACTGTTTTGGTAGTAACTCAAATAACGGTAAGGTTATTCCATAAGGTGAAAAAATGTAACACTCATGCTGCAGAAACATAAGGGGTAACTGTCAGCAGATTGCTCAGTCATCGCCCTCACGGTCCCAAACCACCCATGAGCACCAGGCTCCCAAGTCACAGAGGGGCAGAAACGACACCACTAACGCTGAGCAGCCAAGGCTTGGGGACGGGAGCCACATCTGCCACGATGGGCACGTGCCCCCGGCCTATTCCTGGGCCCCAAGCCCACCTCCTTCCCATGTCTTCCCCAACACACACTGCCTACACAGCCTCACTGTCAAACCACAAAAGAGAAACACAATTTAAATAAGTGGTCTAGGAAAACGCACTGAAGTTTCCGTTAACAATTAGCAACTGACATAGCGGCTGTGGCACAAAGCAGTCTCCTAGGGTGGGGGTGTGGGAGAGCATTTAATGCACTGGATTTCGGGGGTGGGGGGTGACCTAACAATCTCTGCCAACGTTTCCAGAAGCTTCGATTTACTGCTTGACGATCAAATAGGCCCACGTGCACTGCCATTAAGTAGGAAATGGTCATTTGCTCCCGGCTGAGCGCAGACACTCCAATCATTGACCCCATGGCCCCCGGCTGCAGAAGGTGATGAGACAGAGACCGGGAGGGGAAGAGAACGAGAAAAGGAAGAAGGACGGAAGCAAGGGAGGGAAAAGGGAGGGTAGAGACCCAGATGGAGGAACAGACAGAACGACAGTCACAGAGAGGGAAAAAGGTGAAGACACAAAGAAAACGGAGAGGGACAGAAAGTCTACGAAGTGGAGAGAGTTGAGAGGGGAGCTGAGAGGGCAGAGGGGGAAGGAGCTGGAAAGGCGCAGCCAGCCAGCGGGACCCAGGAAGCGCGGACGAAGAGAGGGGCTGGGGCAGCGGGGCGGGAGGGGAGCGGAGGGCTTGGGGGAAGGAGAGCCGAGCCCGCCACGGCGGGCGGGCGGGCGGGAGCCGGGGCCTCACCAAGGTGAAGGGCGTGTTGAGCAGCGTGATCATGATGTCGGCGACCGCCAGGTTGACGATGAAGAGGCTGGTGGCCGAGTGCATCCGCTGGTTCTTGAAGATGACATGACAGACCAGCACGTTGCCGAAGAGCGAGAAGACGATGATGAAGGAGTAAGCCACGATGAGCAGGGGCTTAACGGTGGGGGTTCTGGGGTTCTGCAGCGGCCTGGCCCACAAAGTTCTGCCAGTCGGAGAAGGTGTAGTTGCTCCAGAAGAAGTGCGAGGCGTTGGGCACGGCCAGGGCCGCCTCCAGGCCCGGCTCGTCGGCCCGGCCCTCGGGGCGCTCGGCGGCTCGCACCAGCGGGAGCAGGCAGAGGAGCACCCCGCGCGGGCCCATCCCGCAGCAGTCTCAGCGCCGTCGCGCTCCGCGGGCCCGGAGGCAGGAGCGCGTGCGCGGGGTTGCCGGCCGCATCTCTGCCGGCGCGCTGTGCCCACCCGGACGCGAGCGCGGTGGGCGCCTCCGCCTCTCGGGCGGTGCTCGCTTCGGGCCTGGGCTTCCGCCCGGTCTGGCTGCGGTGCCTGCTCACCCGCTGGCTGGCCGCCTCTGTGAAACGCACCCGCGGCTTCCACGAGGCCGCTCGGCGCGTTCGTCTGGCTGGCGAGCCGGCGCCCCCCTGGCCCGCGCCCGCTCCCATCGCCGGAATGGGGTAACTCCGCCCGGCTTCCGAGCCTCCCTCCACGTTGCGCGCTGCCCGTCTCCCATCGCGCCGGGAGCGAACCCGCCTGGTCTGCAGGTTTTCCTGTCACACTCGCCCCTCCATCCCGCCTCAGCCTAGCTACGGCCAAGGGAGCAGGCGGCGGCGAAGACGCCCATGGTGGCGGGGTGGGGGGTCCGGAGGGGCGCGGCAGGCGGTCGGGTTGGGTCTGCCGGCCCCAGGCTGCTCCCCGTGCAGAGACTCGGGTGCCTTCCACCTGTTTCCGTGAGAGCGTCAGCCCTGCGGTGGATCCCAGTCCGGCAGTGCTGGGGACACAGGCGAGCGATGCCATAGATGTCATTAGGGTTTCTCCAAGCCCCCTCACTGACCCCACTTGACTCTGTTGACGTTTGCTTCCCTACGGCTCCCAAAACAGTGTGGGGCGGGGGGGGGGCGGGGCTTGGTTTTCCAAAGAAAACCTTCAAAGCAGGACACTCTTCTGCCAGGATCAGAGAATCAAAGGAATAATAAGTAGGTTTTGAAGCTGTCGTAAAGGAGATTATCCACGCGTTTTGTTCTCTGCCTGCTTTACAGGAAATCTTGATCTCTCGCTCACCCGTTTTCATTCCTACTGTGCAATCTCTCCTAGTCACCCCAGACGGGTCACCCATTAACCCCCATCCCGTGGAATCGGGATCATAGCACAGCTGTGTCACTTCCTAGCTATGGAATTCCGGGCGAGTTACGTAACTTTTCTGGCCTCGGCGAAAGGGTTTCCTTTTCCTGCGCGTGGGGTTTTCGGAGACCCCTGTATGGATGTCCCACCACCTTGCTCTCGGCGCTAGATATGCAGTAATTGGTTGACTATTTGTAACTGACCTCCCCCCCCCCATTCAAATGGTAAACGGTAGACTCTTTATTCTGTCATTTCCCCCAGCTGAGTGAGCAGTGCCTTTGGGCTGGGACTCCCATCAAAGGACTCCATCAAAGGGGACTCCCATCAAATAACCGTCTGAGAAGTCCGTCCACTTGGCCCAGGGGAAAGCCTGCTCCTCTGTCCCACCCAAACCCTGGGGGATGGGCCCCTCCCACCAGCCACCTCTCACTTTGGAATTTTCCAGGAAAGTTAGATGTCAGCTTCTTTACCCCTTCAAACTCCAGGGACACAGCTCAAGCTCTCTCACTAATAAGCAGCTAGAAGATGGCTTAAGTGTCACCATAGTAAAACACAGGTGCTCTTCCTGAGGTGGGAGGGAGTCTGGGAAGACTTCGGGAAGAGTGATACCTGGCAGGTCCCACGGAGGTAGGAGGTTGGAATAGGGGATTATGTGACTGGTCCTAGGAGAAGGGACAGGGGTGCCGGGCAGATGAAGTAATAGGTGGTTAGCTCTAGAAAAGAAACCAAGGGGCTGTCTGTAAGCATTAGCTCAAGAGCTTGGGTGGACTTGATATTCTACTAAGATGATGTGGCACCATCTCAGGGAGGCAAGGCTGGAACGTGACGGCAATTTAGAGAACAGAACAAGGCTAGGCAGCATCAAACACAGAGGAAGAAATCAAAGGTAGGCAGTGCCCTTCGAAGCACGGTCTTTCAAGTCCCCTGCTTGGTGCTCTGTGACGGGCACGCCAATCTGGAGCACCTGACTAATGCCTTCACTTTGATGCCTTGTTCCCGATGCCTGCCTTGGAGACGTAAGGGCATTTGTGCCAGGTGCCTGAAACCTGTCCCTGAAAGACAAGGTGACCTATGTTAGTTCTTAGCTTTCCACAGAAGCACATCCTGAGACACAGAGTCCGGTGCAAGGGTTTATTTGGAAAGTGAAGGCAAACACCAAGAGTGGGGTGGAAAAGCGAGACGAGCACAGGAAGGCGGCCAATAGAGTATTGTCAGGCCAGCTACCGGCGAGGGATGGGAACGTAATCCTGCCAGGAAAGCCAGCGTCAGGAAGACACGTCAGCTATCCAAACCAACGGACGAGAGCTGGATATCTACCCACTAACCCCTGTCAATCACTGGTTGAAGCTGTTCCCAGGGGTGTGATGATTCTCGTGCACTTCCAGCCTGTCAAGTAGGCAAATAAATAACGGTGCTGGGAGTTGGCAGTTGGACTGGTGTGCCTTGAAGGGGTGGAGAGGACTCACGATATCCAAGGTGAGGCACAAAGTCTAGGATCACTTCATTTCCCTCTTCCCCAGGCATTCAGCTCTCCTGTCCCCAGTTTATCCTCAACTACAGGAACAGGCCAGTGCTTAATGAAATAAGTACCTCCCTCCATCCACCCCACAGCAAGACCAAAACTAAGGTTTTAACAAAGTTCTTTCCTCAGGGGTGCCTGGGTGGCCCAGTCAGTCAAGCGTCCAACTTCGGCTCAGGTCATGATCTCGCGGTCTGTGAGTTCTAGCCCCACGTCGGGCTCTGTTCTGACAGGTCAGAGCCTGGAGTCAGCTTTGGATTCTGTGTCCCCCTGTCTCTCTGCACCTCCCCCACTCATGCTCTGTCTCGCTCTGTCTCTCAAAAATAAATAGATGTTTAGAAAAAAAATTTTTTTTAAGTTCTTTCCTCAGAGGGCTTAAAGGTCTTGTAACATTACCATTGCTATTACGAAGAAGATTTGGGAGGACACAAAGCTGCTCCTCCAGAACAAGGCAGCTCCTTCCTTGTGTGCATTCTGAATAAAACCAAGGATACCATGCATAGTCGGGATGTGCCAAATAGTAATTATATTTTTGTCTCTAATTATAGTCACATGCATTAAACATACTGAGGAACAGAGGAGAGTTTAACTCTTTCGAGTGGACTTGAAACAAAAGGAAAATAGGAAGTCAACTCACAAGTATTCACAAGACCAAGAATTATAGAATAATAATATAATTATAGAATAATAATAGAGAATTGAGAGCCTCACTCCATCTGCAAGCAATTGCTCCTTTGACACCAATATTAGTTCCTGAAAAGGTCCTACTTGAGTTCAAAACTCACCCCACCCACAAATCTTCTCTGGTGCCAATCATCGTGGCAGAGGGGAAGAAAGAACAATCAGCATCCTGCCAGGCAACGACAGTCACTCATAGTTGATCTATTTTAATGGCAAAGGTTGGATGTCATCATACTTTAGTTACAAATGAATCAAATAAGGGCTCCTGGGTGGCTCAGTTGGTTGAGCGTCCAACTCTTGATTTCAGCTCAGGTCGTGATCCCAGGGTCGTGGGATGGAGCCCCGAGCTGGTCTCCACACTAAGTGTGGAGCTTGCTTAAGATTCCCTCTCTCTCTCTCTCTGCCCCTCTATCCTGCTCTCTTTCTCTCTCTAAAATATAAAAGAAATGAATCAAGTAGACTTGACGTATAAAATATGGCTTAAGATATTCTCAATGCAATAGAAACGCAGTGTGTGGGCATGTTACACTTGGAATCAGTTTCCAAGTTCCAGTACCTTGGAGCCACAGGCTAAAATGATACATTTAGGAAAAGTGAAAGGAAGTCTAACTTATAGTTTGTGGTTCCAAATACTTCTGTAACTTGTTTGAACTTACTCTGCACTTTTACATGGGAAGTTTTATAAATGGTGGAGCGGGTATTGGGCCAACTTGTAATAGCCCATTTCATCCATAAAGCAGATAAATGGTTGCATTAGTTGTATCACCACAGAACTGCTAGCTTCTGTTGGTGCTCCAGAGTGCCATCTTCCATTATCTGCTCCTCTTGAATTACATGTCCCCCCGGGCGACCTCAACCATCTCCACTGGTTGCACCATCACTCACAAGTGACTCCAAGATCTGTATTTCTACTTACCAACACTCTTGAAAGCTCCAGACTGAAATTATACATTCGACTGCTGCCTGGACATTTCTACTTGGAATACCCACACACACTTAAAATTCAACAAGCTCCGAACTAAACTCATTATATCCTGTTCTTCCCTCACTCTCTTACACTTGCTCCTTTTCTTGTTCACTTGTTCACCACAGTCAGAATCTTGGGGTCATCTCACGGCCCACCCCGTTTAGGATGCTATGCATTCGAAGATGCTATTTCTGTCTACAATCATCCTCTCTCTGAATCCCAGAGCCAGAGAGACTCCTCTTCGTTCTTGAAGACCTAGTTGAAGTGTTCTCTCTCCTGTGAAGACTCACTGACCACCCCCCCCCCGACTGC